TCGTATAATGTATGCTATACCAAGTTATTACGGAGAACCCGCTGTTTCGCTTCAAGTCCTTTGTCGGGCCGCGGCGCGCCGGCGCGCCAATGCTGGCCTGCACCTGGCCGTCCGCGGCGGGCGAGGCCGCGGGCGAGGCCGCGGCCTCACCGCGCGAGGGTGGGCGGCGGGGCGCAGGCGCGGGCGACTCCCCCACCCCCCGCGCGCCGGTGGAGGAGGAGATGCGCTCGCTGCTGAAGAACATGTCCATTGACGAGGTGGATGCGGTGGCCGCGCTGAGCGCGCGCGGGTCGCTGGACCGCTCCGGCCTCTGGTTCGGCGCGGGGCTGGGCCTGCACCCCGCCGGCTCCACCATCACCGAGGAGAGCTCCGGCGCGGCGGAGGGCGCGGCGCGCAGCGCCAGCTTCGAGGCCAGCGTGTCCGGGTCGGAGGCGGCGGAGCCGGCGCTGCGCTTCGCCATCGAGGACTTCATGCCCGAGACCGCGCTCGTCCTGGGCGGCGACAAGATGTTTGTCACGGGCAGCGTGCGCAGCGCGGCGGGTCTCTGGGAGCGCCACGTCCACCTCAAGTTCGGGGAGGAGGAGGTGCCCGCCGTCGTGCTCAACGCCACCGTGCTCAAGTGCAACGTGCCACGCGCCCCCACTCCCGGGCGCGTGCGCCTCTGCGTCACCCTGGGCGACGGCGTCCCCGTCAGCAACACCGTGGCCTTCACCTACCGCCACGTGGAGGCCTGGAACGGGGCGCCGGCGCCGCCGGCGCCCGCCGCCGGCGCAGACGTCCACGCCTGATGGATGCAGGGGAAGCGTTGCGGCAGCCAGGAACTGAGTTGCAAGAGCAGCGACAGGCTGGCGTCGGCACCTTCGACGCGCCTGCACCCCCTCCTCCTCACCCTCTCCCCTCACCCTCATCCCCGTGCAAGACAGAAAGCGACGCCGATGTTCCTGCACCTTTGCCACGCTGGAAGTTGCGCCCTCTGCCTCCTCGCGCATTCTTGATCTGTCTTGTATCTTTTGATACCTGCCCTTCCTTGTCTGGTCTGGATGGACCCATGCCTGGCCTAGCCTTGCCAAACGTTCGTGACCTAAAACACAAGTGCCAAGTAAGATATTAACCAGCGAGGGCTAGGAGGGTGACAGCCATACAAAGAGCACAGAATGGACCGGTGTCTCAACCAAAGGGGACGCCTGGTGAGCAAATGGAATGTGTCCAGCGCACCTCGCACAGGAAAGCTAACATCGTCGTCGTGATTCCCGCTTTCCGGGGTTTCGGGATGTATTACCAAACGCCGAGACAATGCATGGGCCGCGGACTGCAGAGTGCATGTACTACCTGACAAATTCCGATAATTACTGACAACCTGGTTTGCATGATGCGCAGCGGAACTCGACGCCACCTCCAGGTGTCGGTGGTCATACACCGAGCATGTCCGGTAGGCCTGGACCACCCCGGCGACATCCATGCAGCCTGACATACATGCTCTACACACGTGTACCTTGCAATACGTACTAATTCTATGGCAGAATCCCACCCTGACACTGTCCGGGGCGGGGTGTGGCCGACCTGGCCCTCCCTGCTGCGGGTGTCATGCGACTCCAGACCCATGCTCAGACAGCTGCGTGGCCTGGCCGCCCTGTATTTGCTGCTGGGGAGGAGCCTGAGCAGCATCGCCCTGGAGCTGGTGCGGCACATCCGGCAGGCTGGCGGCGTGCTCAAGAGCCTGTCCCTCGGCGGGCGCCTGGTGTACCGTGGCGTCGAGATTAAGCGCTGGCACGGCCTGGTGGCAGCCTACCTCGCCTACAAGGCAGCCCAGGCGCTGCAGGGTATCATCAAGTACCTGGCGCAGACGGGGCAGAGGAGAACGCTGCGGCGCCGCATGCGCAGCGCGTCGTCATATGAGTAAGTGGAGGGAGGGGGGGGTCTAGCATGTTCGCAGGGTCTCCGAGCAATGCATGCAGTAGATGATCCCGTTCTCTGTTCATGCATGAAGGTACTCAAGCTCTCCCCCTGCCATCATGGCTTCGCAGGGAGTGGCAGGGGCTGGCGAGGGAGTGGGATAGATTGACGGGAGCCAAGGCGAAGCCGTGCCTGACAGCCTGCGAGGCAGCCGAGCTCCGGGAGCTGTCCGGGAAGCTGCGGGAAGCCCGCCTGGCAGGCTATCTCACCGCCCTCAGGTTCACGCTGCGCATGGACCTGAAGCGGCGGAGCGGGTACGAGGCCGTCCAGAGGTAGGCGGTGGGCGGGACGGAGCGGGATCTGGGTATATCGAGAGGCTATTTTTCTCCCCCTCTGGTCTGATGCCAGTGCTGGTGCTCACCATTAGGCCGCCTTTCTAGATCGATGTACTTTCCTGACCCGTGCCCCAGCCCTGTGCATTCTGACAGGCTCCTGGACACCGGCATCCAGTGCATCACGCTGCCTGCCGAGGTGGAGGAGTACCTGAGCGAAGCCATCCAGGCGCTGCAGCACATCGTGGGCACGCCTGGTGAGACGAAGGGATGCTTTGGTGGAGTAAGGGGAGGCTGGTTGTACGTGGCAGTGTAGAGTATGCAGACCTTGCATGTGTAAAAGGGTTTCAGCCTGCAGGATCATGCGGCAGAGTGCTCCTGCCTGGATTTCCTAGCAGGCCTGATACCTGGCACAGGATGAGCTGCTAAAGCTGGCGGCGCAGCCTTGTCCCTCCACAATGCCGGGTGCCAGCGCTGTCCCACCCTTTACCTTCTTCTACCCCCCTCTACTCTTGATTCCTGCAGCATTGGTACACCGGGATAAGGTATCGTTCTTCCGCGAGCTGCGGCACGCCTACGGCCGCACTGCCCTGGTCCTGTCTGGCGGCGGCTCCTTCGGCTTCTTCCACTATGGCGGTGCGCAATTTTGTGTGGAGCATCGCCCCTCCCTTCCTTGTTACGAGCAGCCGATTGCAAATGCCCGCTCCAGAAAGTGTCAGGCACTGCACCTCCGAGATTAAGACTGCCTTCGCCTCCTTCCACATCCCCCCCCCAAAAAAAAAATACTTCTACCATGCAGTGATCAAAGTGCTGCTGAATGCGGGCATCTTGCCGCGCATCGTGGCTGGGAGCAGCGCCGGTGCACTGGGCGCGGGCATCCTCGCCTCGCGCCCCGTGGCCCAGCTCGCGGCGCTGGTCAACATGTTCCCCGGCGATCTGGACATGAACCTGCTGTCCAACAACACCACGCCCCACATCCTGCGCCACCTGGTGGTCAAGGGTGAGGCTGGTGTGGGTGTCGCGCTGAGGAGGGAGCCGGTGGCACGGCGGGCCGCGAGCACACTCGTCAGAGGGATCCCCCTTGCTGTGCGCACCAGGCTCCTCCTCCTGCACCCCTCCCCTCCCATCCTCACACGCCGCTTCCGCTGGCGTGCTCTGCCGGATGGGCGTCGACCCATTCCTCCAGACCTGATTCCCGCTCACCACCCCATCCCACCCCTCACCCCTCCAGGCACGGCACAGGACGGCTCGGTGTTCGTGGAGCGACTGAAGCGCCTGTACGGCGCCGACCTGACCTTTGCCGACGCGTACGCCGTCTCAGGCCGCATCCTGAACGTGTCGGTGTGCGCGGCCGACACGCGCGAGCCCCCCCGTGTGCTCAACTACCTGTCGGCGCCCAGCGTGCTGGTCTGGAGCGCGGTGGCCTGCTCCTCCGCCTTCCCCTGGCTCTTCGCGCCGCGCGAGCTGCTGGCCCGAGACCCCCACGGCGCCACCGTCCCCCTGGGCGCGGTGGGGGGCGGGGGCGGCGCGGCGCTGCCGCGCCGCTGGCGCGACGGCAGCCTGGAGCTGGACCTGCCCATGCGCGAGCTGGGCGAGACCTTCAATGTCAACTACTCCATCGTCAGCCAGGCCAACCCCTGGCTGCTGCCGGTGATCGCCGCGCAGCGCCTGCTCCCCGCCGGCCTCGGCCGCGCGCTGGAGACCGAGTTCAAGCACCGCTGCGGCCAGGCGCTGACCTTCTTCCCCCGCTCCCCCCTGCTGAAAATGGTGGGCCAGCCCTGGGGCGGGCACGTCACGCTGGCCATGCCCGCCGCCGCCTTTGGTGCGGGCCAGGCCGCGCGCAACCTCAGCCCTGCCGACATCGCGCGCGCGGTGAGGGAGGGCCAGCTCCGCGCATGGCGTGCGCTGCCGGTCATGCATGCCGCCTGCGCCGTGGAGGCCGCCATCGACGCCGCGCTGGCTCAGCTGCTCGCGCCCAGCGATTCGCGGGACGGCGCCGCCACGGCGCAGCACCCCCTGCCACGCAAGATCCCGCGCGCCTCGCTGCCCTCCTGGCTGCACCTCCCCGCGCTCGGCCTGCCGCCCTCCGCCTCGCTGGAGCATGAGCTGGGCGCGCACGGGTCCCTGGCCGCCTCCTTGGCCTCGTTAGATGAGGAGGCGGGGGAGGCGGGCGGCCCGCCGCTCGCAGACGCGGCGCCCGACGCTCCGATGTCCTATGCGGCGGGGGATGTGGCCGCCGCGGAGCACGTCTGGCGCGACCTGGCGGAGCTCTCCACGCGCTCCCACTCCGCGCTGGACTGCATCGCGCCCTGACGCGAGCAGGACAGGGCGCCTGAATGGCAGGCAGGCCTGCACAGATATCCTCGCGGGCACGTTGGTGCCCCAGTCTACCAGCATCGTCCCTCTGTTGTATTACAAGCACTGGGCATGGGCATGTCCTCCCTGGGATAGGTTCGATCGTTCTCGTCGACAGTATGCAAGGGACATGATACAGGGGCAAGACCAGGGTCTACGTTCAGCAGCAGCCTCGATGGCCGCCGTCGCCACATCGGAACCTGGGGCCAGTGGTGCGACGCAGGCTGAGTGGCCCAGCGCGAGCGGTGCGCCCGTGCCACGCCTGTGTCCAGCCTCCTCATGGCGGACTCCCTCCATGTACCAAAGGGAGGAGGCTCCTCTCCACCCCCTTTGCCCGCTCAGTGGATGCGGACGGGAACGGCGGTGGAGTGCTGCAGGGTGGGGTGCGCCTCCAGCGCCGCCTCCATGTTGCCGTTGGACCAGTACTCCGGCTGCCCGTGCTCCAGGAACCAGTCGATGGTGCGCTTCAGGCCCTCCTTCCAGTCCACCGTCTCGCTCCAGCCCAAGTCCAGCAGCTTCTTGTCGCAGATGAAGTAGCGGCGGTCGTTGAAGGCGCGGTCGCGGACATGAACGATGGAGTTGGCGGGCAAGCCAAAGTGCTTGGCGATGTCGGTTGCCACATCCACGACGGTGCGCTCCTTCTGCGTGCCAATGTTGTACGTCTCGCCGACCTGAGGATATGGTGGAGGGAGGTTGTGATACTTGGGCTGAGGGAGGTGGGGCGGTAGGAAATTTTCCCAAAGGAAGATTTCATTCCTGAGGTGTGGTCAAGCACTTTGAGAATCAGTGTTGGCCCCAGCGGATACCGAAAAGTATATTGGCATGGTGGATCATAATAACAATGCAGTGTGTTGTAGCCGAGCTGAGCTCATGCACCGAAAGGGGAACCACGCACTCGCAAAGCACCCCTTATGAAACATCAGCACATGTCTCTACTTGGGTCCAGGTGGTGGTCGGCAGGCACATGACCACTGAGACGGTGCTCCCACGCACCCACCCACAACGCACCGTGCCCTTCAGCATGACGATGATGTAGGCCTCCGCGACGTCCTCCACGTACAGGTAGGACCGCACCGACATGCCGTCGCCGTGGATGGGCAGTTTCTCGCCACGCTGAGCCCTCAGAATGAACTTGGGGATCATCTTCTCCGGGAACTGCAGATCACAGTGGGGAATAAAATGGTGTTGTGCAGATGCCGGTAGCGAAGCGCCCCATGAGCCCAGGCGCCCTTGGGCAGGCAGGCCACATACGCCCTCCCTCCCAAATAGTAAAAAGACACCTGCTAGACCAATAACAACGCACCTGATGAGGCCCGTACACGTTGTTTCCCCGAGTGACGATGACGGGGAGCTTGTAAGAGGTGTGGTAAGCGCGCGCCATCATCTCGGCACCGGCCTTGGCCGCCGAGTAGGGGTTGGTGGGCTCCAGGGCAGAGGCCTCGCTCAGGCCCTCGGCCTTCCCCAGCGAGGTCTCGCCGTAGACCTCATCGGTAGAGACGTTGAGGAAGCGGCGGATCTTGCCGTACAGGCGGGCGGACTCGAGCAGGACATGGGTGCCATAGCTGCCAAGGCATGAGGGAGAGGGTGCTGATTGTGAGCACAGGCTTTGTGCGTACAGGGGAGCATGCATCACGTCACCATATCCATTCCTGCACACACGCTTGCCACCCCAGCATACGTGTTGTTCATGGTGAACGCCAGGCTGTTCCCGAAGGAGTTGTCCACATGGGTCTGGGCGGCAAAGTGCATGACGGTGTCGATCTCCTCGGTCTCCAGAATGTGCACGATCAGGTCCGTGGACTGGATCTCTCCCTTCACGAACTTGAAGTTGGGGCAGTCCCGGATGGACTTCAAGTTCTCCAGCGTCGCGCAGTAGTCGAGCTTGTCCAGGACAACCACCTGTGGGGCGAATAGATGCGGAGGGGTGGTTGGAGGGGCCCCACCGATGCTAACGCCGACATGCTGGCATATAAGTTTGATCATTGGGCATAAGCATGAACATGTGCATTGCTTGTAGAGGTGTTGGGCGACGCGGAGGCCCAATACGCCGGGACCCCCACGCAGATCTGGGTTGCCCAAAGCTCTGGACATGCCGCTATACCTTGACATGAGGGTAGCGCTTTACGAGCTTGATGGTGACATGACTGGCAATAAACCCAGCTCCGCCGGTGATGAGGATGCTGCGCGGGACGTACTCCTCGACGGCCATGGCCACCAACTGCCCCGTGGAAGCAGTGCTTGCGTCACTGGGAGGTGGAGCGCTGCACTTTAATGCAAGATCTCGATGCTATGTAATGAATGTAAGGACAGAACACAAGAGATCACTGTGAAGATTACCCGCACGTCTCCAGCCTAAGTCGGTTCGCGTTGGGAGGTTGGGACGGGTTTCCTTGACCCCGGACAGGGCCCCCAGCCCCTGTCCCGGTGTTCAGAAAGGTCACTACAGGACTAGCAGCGTCCCGCGCAATCAGTGCGCGGCAAGAGGAAACAGATGCAGTCGACAAAGGCATATGAAACAGAGAGGAACGCAAGGCATTCTCAGTAGCGTCCACCATAGCCACCACCGCCGCCACCAAACCTGCAGTTCAGCACGAGAGGCGAGTGGTTCAGAGGCATGGCGCCCGCACAGCAGAACAGCGCAGTGAAGAAGGCAAGCGCTGGATGTCAGGGCAGTGGCTGCTCAGGAAACAGCCCAAGCTGCCGCGGCGACACCCTCATCAGTATCGCCCCCCCAAAAGTGCCCAGGCCGTGCGCCCTCCCCACATCCGACTCACCCGCCGTAGCCGCCCCCGCGGCCACCACCCACCGGGAGCATGTTCGCCCCAGTGCGGCCGCCGCCCCCGAACCCGCCGCCGCCGCGGCCGCCGCGCCCTCTGAAGGAGCTGGGCCCCCCGCTGGTCATGGCAAACTGCCTGAGCTCGGGGGGGCACCACCTGCCCCGCCTCCTCCAGGATGCCCACCAGCTGCCGGGCCATGCGCCCATTGTTGGCCGTGAAGAAGCTGTGCGCGCGCCCGTCCGCGCCCGCGCGCCCCGTCCGGCCAATGCGGTGGACGTAGTCCTCCGCGCTGCCGGGCATGTCGTAGTTCACCACCAGCTTGATGTCCTTGACGTCTGCAGGTCAGTTCAGGGAAGGGGGAAGGGAGGGGGCGAGACCCACCCGGAAGGGGGCACCGGTGAGCAAGGGCGGCGGGGGGGGGGGCCAGGGTCACTGGGCATGCATCGTGAGGGTAGCTGATAGGACGCTAGAGACACGGTAAGCCGGAGTGCGCAGGGGAGGGCCGGGCTGGGCAGGCCACAGGCGGGCGGCGCGGAGCATGCAGGGCGAGCCAGGCGAGGCCGGGCGTGGCCTGCAGGCGGCAGGCGGCCCGTGATGACAACCACGGAGGCCTGCGCCATGCATCCACTTCCCCAGAGCGGGGTTCCTCCCCACTCGGCCCGGTCAGAGGGGCCGAGCGGGCCTCCCGTATGTTGGGAGGGCGTGCGGTCAGAGACCCTGGGCCCGGGTAGGGGGGCCGGATGGGTTCCCTCACGTCGCAGCAAGGACTTCAGGGGTGGGGGTTGCAGGTGCTGCTCGACGCGCGCACAAGCAGGGCTGCCGAGCATGCACCAAACCGCCCAGCGCTGACAGCACCGTCGCGTGTGCGGCTTGGTGAGCCACCCCTCTTTGACCGCCTCGCGCCGGCTGTGGCACTCGCTCCGCGCTCGTCTGCCCACGGTCCTCCGCATGCACACCGGCGCCATGCATCAACTTTCCCAAAGCCCGCAAGGGCTGGCACACGCACGGGCAGTGGCCCAGAGCGAGCTCAGGCGCATGCGCCAAGCACGTTGGCACGGCACGCAAGGCCAAGGCGCCGTGCATGACCCGTACCACGCCAGGCATGCGGTTGCAGCACCGGCATACAGCAAGGGCCGGCTCCTACAGCCGCAGCCGCACCCCGCCAGCGTAGGGGGGCGGTGCATGCGTATACACTCCGCCCTGCCTCTCCCAACCACCCCCCCTGCTTCCTCACCCAGGCCTCGCGCCGCAACGTCGGTGGCGAGCATGATGGGGTGCTTGCCGTTCTTGAACTCGGCAAGCACCCAGTCGCGCTCCTGCTGCGTCTTGTCTCCGTGGATGGAGAGGGCGGGGAACCCGTCCTGGCGCAGCTGGCGCGTGACCGCGTCGCAGCCGCGCTTGGTCTCGCAGAAGACGATGACGCGGCGGCCGTCCATTTCGCGCTCCAGCAGGCGCAGCAGGCGCGGCAACTTCTCGTGCTCCGACACGAAGTCGAAGGCCTGCTCGATCTTGTGGTTGGCCTTGAGGTCGCTGGACCCAATGGTCACCTGGTAGGGCTTGGTCAGGAACTCGGAGGCCAGGGCCTGGATCTCCTTGGGCCAGGTGGCGGACCAGAGCAGGGTCTGGCGGTCGGGCCGGATCTGGCCGAGAATCTTCCTGATCTGGGGCTCGAACCCCATGTCCAGCATGCGGTCCGCCTCGTCCAGCACCAGGTAGGTCACGCGGCGCAGGTTGGTGGTCCGCCCCTCCAAGAAGTCGATGAGGCGGCCGGGGGTGGCAATCACGATCTCCACCCCGCGCCGCAGGTCGTTGCCCTGCGGGCCCTTGGGCGCACCGCCGTACACGCAGGTGCTCTTGATGCGCGAGGAGCTGCCGAACTTGAGGCACTCGCTCTGGATCTGCACCGCCAGCTCGCGCGTGGGCGCCAGTGCCAGCACAATGGGGCCGTCGCCGGGGGACAGGTGGGGCTGCGCGTTGATGTGCACCACCGCGGGGAGCAGGTAGGCCAGGGTCTTGCCCGACCCCGTCTCCGCGATGCCAATCAGGTCGCGGCCCAGCAGCGCCATGGGCCAGCCCTGGGCCTGGATGGGGGTGGGCTCCTTGAACCCGGCCTTGGCCACCTCGTGCAACACGTACTCGGGGAAGGAGGCCTCCTCGAAGGTGGTCACAGGCTTGGGCACGCCCTCGCCGCCGACGTGGATGTCGCGCTCCGCGCGGTAACGCTCCACCTCGCCGTCGCTGCGCGCCGTCACGTCGGGGTGCTCGTAGTAGAAGTTCTTCTCCAGGGCGGGGACGTCCCGGAAGTCCTGCTGGGGCAGGGAGGTGAAGTTGATGTCGTCCCGGCCACGGCCCCCGCCGAAGCCACCCCCGCCGAAGCCACCGCCTCCGCCGTAGCCACCGCCACCGCCGTAGCCACCGCCACCACCGTAGCCACCGCCGCCGTAGCTGGACCCCCCGGCGTAGCGACTGGAGGAGTCGTCGTATCTGGGAGCGAGCGCGGGGTGGGGCGGGGCGATCATTTGGTGCCGGGCAGATGGTAATGCCCCAAATGCTGCATCCCGCTGTCTTGGTGACACCAAACAGGTGCTCTCACAAAGCCCTCACCTGGAGCTACCACCGTATCCACCGGAGGAGCGGTAGGGTGACCGCGAGCGCTCCCTGTAGGCCATGGCTGGTACCTCTACCTGTAAACTGGGCTCCTGTATAGTTTTGCGTCGGTTCAATTACTCTCGCCGGCAAGTAATGCTGAAATGTTTGTGTTATCCCGGTGCGACTGTCAGTTTCTGGACTGGAGCAGGGCGCTGAAGCGGGAGCAATATTCGGCGGGAAGCGCATCAGGGTGGATGGATTGGTTCTCCCCTGCAGCATCGAGCATTGGTCCAAAGCGCAGGCCGGAGGACTGCGATCATGCGCTTGTAGACGTCCCTGAGCATGCATTGCCAAGGATAGAGTGCGCTCAAAGGGGCTTTTAGGAAGCCCGATCAAGCTTGGTGCGCAACTCTCCTCTTCCGACATGGTGGTCTCGGTCGCTCCCGTGCGCCCTGTGGCGATGTCTCCTGACTGCAGAGCCTGGAGCGCTTTTACTGTGCGTGGCCCTTCACGCATGCCTTGCCACACTCTATCTCCTGGATACACTGCTCGGAACACTGCTGTCCGGGCCGGTGGGGGTAGGTCTGTGAAAAGGCAGGAGCAGGTAAACGTGCCTGACGCCCCACCAGCTCCCTCGACACCTGGGAGGTCCATGGACACAGCTGACACAGAGACATCAGACAGGGTAAGTGGACTGCCCTGTGGCACTGTGGTCTGCATGGGCAACAGCTATGAATTCTTAAAAATGTGATCCTGGAATGCCACCGGCTCTCAATGCCACATCCCCTGCAGGGGCAAGAAGAGAAAGCTGAGACTTTCACGACTTCTCAAGGTCCAGCAGCAGCTGTCAAGACCAGCCCGACCTCAAACATCGTCCTGGTGCGGTGATGCAATCGGGTGCAGGTACCATCATTCATGAGGGATGCACTGCTGTAGATCAACCTCGCGACTCTTCAAGGCCCCCGGTCATATAGCCAGCATCATGTGAGAGCAGTGAGAAGTTGCCAACCCCGCCTGAGGTGCGTTTATTCTCCTGCCACGACAGGGAGCGCTGGAAGAGGTGCAGCTCATACAGTGGCCAACCATACCCCAGGCCCTTGTCAACACGGTCCAGGTCCTCATCATTGTGGGGACGACGTCTGTGCTCTTGTTTGCAGTGAACTCGATCTTGACGGAACTGTCACGGAGAGCCTATGGATAGCAGCTTGAGAAGTGCTTGAAGATGAAGCTGACGGCCGCCTCTTAATTGATTTAACTTCACTGGAACCTGCGCAGTAGCACAAGCGAATCACAGCTGCAGTCGTGGGTCGTTTTGTTGCTAGAGTTGAGTCCCAGAAAATGGTAAGCCGTGCAATCAGTAACCTGCAAAGTCTGCGCAGTACAGTCGCCCCATCGGGATGGCAACTCCACGAGTAGCTTCGTGGGAGGAGCCCTGCACCTAGGACAGCAGCCGGCTATGAACGTTGTGCCTGATGGCGACCATAAGCACGACGAACACTGTATTCCCAAAGACGTATCAAGTGATAAAATCAACATCCGGCAACTTCCAGAACAGATCGGTGCGCGGCACCACGTTACTTAGTTTAGCAGGTCACGACGACGCGTGTCGGCAGGATCACGACGCGTCCGGATCGGACCACTTTGGAGAGAACCGAAGGCTCCCTCGGCATGTCCCACTCCTTCCACAACCAACAGGAATTTGGCACCCCGAATGTCGAGGCTGGAGAACCCAGGGTGACAACCATGTTTCGCATCTCCTCCAGGGATGTCCGGCCAGCTACGGAACCCTCGCCCAACGTTGGACCTGATGCCGTCTATGCGAAGACCAGCCCGCCCAGAGTCACCGTGAACCGCATAGTAGAACCCAAGGATGGAGCGGAGAGGAGCAACATCTCCAGCACGGGGTGGAATAGCAATGGCGAGAGTCCCCGGGCCTCTGGGGTGAGTCTCAGCAAGCCCTCCCGCCTCATGCGCAAGCTGCACGTCTACAGAGAGGAGTTCCACGTCGGAAATGATGAGGTGCGTCCCTGAAACCAAAAAGTGGGGCCTGCAGAGAGCTGACTGGGGTGCAGAACCGGGACGGAGAGCTGGCAGGGCAGGGCGGCATAAGGCAAGACCTAACAACACTGGATGACTCACAGGCCCTGTGCATCCTTAAGACCCTGTGCACCATCCCAGTGCCTCGACCTCCCGTTCCATAATGCAGCTGTTCCTCGAAGACTACCTGTGTGCTGTCCAGAAGAAGACCCTGAAGCAGGGACGCATGTATATTTTTGACAAGCACATCGGCTTCCATGCAAACATTTTTGGTCACCACAAGTACTACAGCATCCCCATCAAGGTCCGTGCTGCTACTCAAGGGATTGGAGAGGAGGGGAGACTCGTCCAAGTGGACGTCATCCTATTCATTCGATACTGAAGCACTCGGCTCCTCCCTTCCTGCCCTCGCCCCTCATCCTTGTCAACACATCCCAACGTCCATGCAGGACATCACCAAGGTTACAAAGGAGTCCAACGTGGGCTTCCCAAACTCCGTAAAGATATGCTGGGGACACACCCACTCCCTCTTCTTCACCAGTTTCCTGAACCGCGAGGATGCATACAAGTAAGCTCCTTGCAGGTAGAGTTGTCATTCCACACACCTTGCCACCGACTTCCAATGGAGTTCCAGCTCACACTCCCCGACGCCCACCCCTGCAGGCTGATCATGCACCTTTGGCGCCAGCTCAGCAGCAGAGCTCCCAGCGAAGCGGGATCGCCCGAGGGGAGTGAGGACGAGGCCCTGACCAGTATAACAAAGCCGGTGAAGAAGCTGCTCTGCAGCGTCGGCTTGAGCAGGAGCTCTGCGACCAGCCAGGGTGGAGGTATGTTGGTGCGAGCAGGTCACTTAATGCTGATGGGGAATGGCCTCGTCAGGATGAGCGGCAATAGGAGGCCATGGATGCATTGTCCATTTGGCAGCTGAATACGACGCTGACACAGACAGTCTTGACCGCCTGACTGCGCCACTTTTTTACCAGCCAGGCGGCGCCCACCCTGCAATGGATTTCTGACTGGCAGGTTGACCTGACCCTTTGCAAGACCCGAATCCTGGCTCGAGAGCCACTTGTCCTCGCCACATTCGCAGGCAAGTCAGAGAGGTCCCCAATCAGGGAGGACAGCAGTGGCGATTCAGACAGCGACTCCTCGGGGAGCAGCGATGACGAGTCCTCTGTTGCCGAGGGCGGGGATCCCAAGGTGGGCAAAGTCCTTGGTGTGTAGAGGTCTCCCTTGTGAACGCGAGCTGCCTGCTGTTGCGGCGGTAAGACCTCACCACATCGTCCCTTCTTTCCTCCACAGGCGGAGAGCCTGGACGTTGCCAGGGCTGATGAGGACGCCCCGAGCGTGCAAGACGATGCCAAGCCATCCCTGGTGAGCCTGGCAGGGGGAATGTGGGTTTGGTGCATGGAGGAAAGGATGGAGTTGGAGATGGGCTCCTGAGATCCTGCACCCGCCTCAAATACCTCTTTCCCCAACTTCTCCCTCGGTGCAGGAGTATACTGTGCCCTGCTCGCCGCAGGTGTTCTGGACAAAGTTCCTGGGAAACAACTCCAGCTACTTCAAGGACTTCCATGAGTCTCGCGGTGACTCCTCTGTCAAGCTCACAAAGTGGAAGAAGCACTCCAAGGTGCTGACACGGGAGCAGGCCCTGGGGAGTACAGGGTTTGCTCTGTGGCTTTGCATGGACCTCGTGGCATGAGGACCCCTGCCCACAGAGGGTGCAGCAGGCATCGACCTGCCGGCAGTGCTTGCGCTTCCTTAGGTCCTCTTGAACACGGAGTGGCTCTCGGCCACCTCGTCTCCACCGGCGAGCCTGTCCAGGCTTGACCCGCACCACACCTCCTTGCATCCGTAGGGCGGCGTGGTCAGGGATCTGCAGTTCGTGACGCCGGTCAAGATGAAGATGGGTCCAGACACGACTCTCTGCAACCAAACGCAGCGTTTCACAGTGAGCCATGATGCACCACGGCCACTGCATGCAGAGCCGCTGTTGAAGGAGAAAGTGTGGGCCATGTGCCGCTGCATCCCGGGGGAGGGCCCTTGTCTCCCTTGGCACCCCCTCCTGCACACACCTCACTCCGTCGTCCCTGCTCTGCTCCCTCTCCCATCAGGCATACAGGGATGACCATCTGGTGTTTGAGACCACCCAGACCATGAACGACATCCCCTACAGCGACCACTTTACGGTGAGAAGGGAGGATGCTGGGGAGACGTGCTGTGCAACAGCTTGCGTCGTTGTCTGTCACCCTTCTGCTGTGATGAACATCTCATCCCTGCCAAAGAACTGCGTTCATCATCTGCCGTGACCATCCCTCACCCGTCAGGTGGACTCGCGGTGGGATGTGACTTCCTCCGAAGATGACAAGTGCACCGTGAGGATCTACATTTTTGTTCCATTCAGCAAGGTGTGCAAGCACATGGGTGGGTGGTGGACGTTGGTTTTTGGCAAAGTCCAGATGGCGATCCAAAGATTATCCTTACTTTGAAATCGTGCACAGCTCGCTTGATGCCCTTGGCTTCCCTCTTCATCATTTGCAGAAAACCATGTGGAGGAGTTTCATCGAAAAGGGAGTGAAGGAGGGATGTCTCACGTCCTTCACCGCATGGAGAGACATGGTGAGGTGTGGGGTGTAGCTTCAGTGGGGAGCTCTTGGTGTCGTGACGTCCTGCCTCGCCGTTTGGGAAACCCTGAATGTTACCAAGGACTGCATGGGTCCCAGCATTTTCACTGGAGTGGTTCTGCAACATCCTCTCTCCATCTCCGCACAGGCCAAGGACGTCTTGGCCGGCAAGAAGGGCACCCCCGCACCAAAGACCCAAAAGTCGAGGAGTGGCGGAGGGGGTGGGGTGAGTGACAGTGCCGGGACCCGTCCCAACACCGATGGGGCTGAAATAGGCCCAAGCTCACGAACCCTGGGCGCAGCATCGGGTCTGCTGTCCGGCAGCCTGGTCAACACTGCCTTGCTGGCGGCCCTGGTAGTCCTGCAGCTGCTGATCCTGTGGCACCTGCGCAGCTCGACAGCAGACCCTCGATCTGAGATTGGGGCTGAAGGCCTGCGTCCTGTGCTGAGGGAGCTGATCCTGGAGCTGAAGGAGATGCGGTTGCAGGACACAGGAGCCGGAACGACGGTTGTTCTCGGCAGAGCGGCCTGAATAGCCGCACCGCGCTACTGTGGGCGGAGTCGCCATCAAGAGCTTATTCCTTGTGAATAAGGCACCCTATGACCCCTGTTACTAATCATTTTGTACACTTCCACTCTTTTGGCGCCGGCCATTGTAATTTTGGACCAAGAGCAGAACCAGGCAGCCAGCTTTTGGACTCTTCCGCCTGCTCAGCGCCGATTTTCTTTCCTTGTCACTTGCCTGGGCGACACGACAAGAGGACACTGCGCCCCACGACAGCAAGCAAGAGGAAAGTGTCTACACAAAATATACTAGTAAGCACGTCCTTCATATGTTGCATAGATTGCACCACTTCGAACCCCGTCACATTCTTGGCACGCAGCCCAGTCTTACCCCATGGCCTGCCTGGTTCGCCAGTGGAAGCGGTGGGGCGGGTTGCAGCATCAGCTAGTCTCACTCACAGCCCAGAGCTTACAAGGTGAGGTGAAGCTTGGAAGACGTTGCGGTACTAAGGCCGGGAGCGTGCTCGGGTCGCCATCGCTCGACTCAGTGGCGCCGGTCACCTAAATAAGTGCCTCCTCCCTGTACACAGAGACCTGCGGCGGGCAGGGCGCTGTCGCTGGGTCAGCACTGCAGCTGCAGCAGCTGAGGTGGGCTTCCAAGAAGCAGGGGGGCTCCACACAGAACAACAAGGGACAGAATCCACAGAACCTGGGCATCAAGATGTACGGAGGCCAGCGATGCATCCCCGGGAACATAATCGTGCGGCAGCGGGGCACCGAGTTTCATCCCGGAGCAAATGTCGGCATGGTGTGTCTCAGTGGGACGTTGGGGGCAAGGGGTTCTGTAAACGGAGGGGTGGCCCTGCCACCCCACAGGGAGCTGGATTCTTGAGCCCCGGTGTGGATTGGCCCCTTCCAACTCCATAACTCACTTCCCCCCCCCCCCCGGGCCTCCCGACCACAGGGCAAGGACCACACCCTTTTTGCTTTGATCCCCGGCAACATCAAGTTCAGCTTCGACAAGCGACGAAAACGGAGAATGGTGGCCATCCTGCCTCCAGAGACGGCGAGTGCCAGCGTCTCAGCAACCGCTTGACACACGTAGTTGGCATGCACCGCTGTGCTGATGTTTGCAGCTCTGTGCAATGCAGTGGCTCTGACAGTACCAAGTGCTCAACAACAAAAATATGATAGGAGGAAGAAAATGGATAGGGAGGCTTTGTCCCAAACACATATCAGGACTCAGCGCCGACAAGTCAGGGCCTGATGAAGGACTAGTCATGCCGCCGGGATGGTCGCGCCCTCTGTGCGGTGCACCCCCGCCTGCCGCTCAGCCTTTTCTTCGACGCCGCTCACCAGCCGCCTGCGCTCCGCCTCGACCATGAGGCGCGTCAGGCGCCGGTCCGTGCCGCTCAGCGCTGCGCGCTTGGCCTCCAGCGACCGCCCCGCGGTCTCCACGGCGGCCTGCGCCACCCAAGTCTCGCCCTCCAGCGTCTCCAGCCAGCCGGCGATGCTGTCGCAGCGCGCCCTCAGCTCGGCTAGCACACCCTCCTGCAGCGGGGTCAGCAGGAGGGGGGGTCTGCTGGGCATGGGTGCCCGGCGGCTTGTCTGGGCGCCATCATGCACGGTCAGGGTCAGGGAGGGAGGGATGCGACCGCAGTCTCGCTCCCGCCGCAGGCATGGTTGCATGGAAGTCCTGGCGCCGTCAAGCCCACAAATCCCATTCCCTCTTTCCAAACACACACTGACCCTGGTGGCCTTGACCTCGGAGACCTTGGCCAGCTGCAGCTCCAGTGCTGCCAGCAGCGCGCCCTCGCCGGCCGCGTCTTCTCCCGCACGCTCGGCGCCGGGCCCCTCCAAATACACCTCGCACGCCACGGTGTGGCGGCGCAGCAGCTGCACGCTGGCTTCCAGCGCGCGCCGGGGCGCCGCCCCGCCGCCGTCCCGCTCGCCGAAGCAGAGCGCGCGGGGCTGCACGCCCTCGACCGTGCTTTCCTCCCCGCCCCGCGGCGCCCCGCGGGCCAGCGCCCAGGCCGGCGGCGTGCGCACCAGGCCGGCGGCAGGCGAGGGGCGCGCGGCCTCCAGCGCGGCGGCCACGCCCGGCCGCCGCCGGTCCTGGAGGAAAGCGCGGAGGTGGCGGGCCGGGCCCTCCAGCACCGCGGCCGCCGACACGGTTCGCCGCCGCGGCCGCGGCAGCCGCACTGGGCTGCGGAAGTCCAGCGGGTCGCAGGCCGCGCCGGGGGTGCAATTGGCGATGCCGTGGTCCGCACCGGCGTCAGTTCCCGACCCCGCTCCAGCGCCCTCCCCCCCGCTGACGCCGCGGCCCACCCCGCCGTCGCCGGACCGCGTGCGGGGAGTCACGACACGCACGCTCCCGCACTCCTCCCCCCAGGAGATGTGATGCCCCGCATCCGGGTCGGGTCCCGGCTGCAGTGCCAGCTCGCGCCGGTACTTGGCGCGCAGCACGCCCAGCGCGCTGTGCCGGATGGTGCGAAAGGCGATGGCTGCGGTGTCGATCAGGCGGCTGCCATCCAGGGACATGGGGGCCAGGGCCTGCAGCATCATGTAGGCGTCGCTGGACTCCCGCGTCGCACAGATGGCCTTTTGTTAATTGGGAGGAGGGGTCGAAAGGGGAGCGCAGGTGGTTGGGTTGGGGTTGCAGGGGGCGTGTGGGTGAGAAGGGCGCACACATCGCAGCGCTGGCTGCCCCCAAGAACCATGCTCGAAGCGTGTCATACATTTGGCGGGGTTTGGGGGGCGCCAGCGAGGGGGTTAACAGGCTTTCCTCCGGCCCCCAGCATCATACCGCCCCCCCTACCTGGTTGTAGATGTCCACAAGGGCGAGGGCGGTGCGGAAGAGGACTACGGGGCTGCCCTCCAGGAAGAGCAGGTCCCAGACGCGGAGGCATGTCTCCAGGGGCAGGGAGTTGACGAAGATGCAGAGGAACCAGTGCAGCGTGACCGAGCCCAGGTCCACCTCCAGCGCATCCAGGTGGCGCGCGGTGGCCGGGTGCGCACCCTGCACCAGGTGCGCCAGGATGCGCGCGTCCAGCGCGGGAACCTCCATGGCCGCGTCGAAGTAGCCCGGGAGCACGCGCTCGACCACGGCGGCCAGGCACCAGAAGGCCCCCTCCTCCGGCAGGAAGAGGAGGAAGGCAGCGGCCACGAAGTTGAGGCCCTGGCAGTAGCCCACCGCCGGGTTGCGCGCCGCGTAGGCCGCCAGCACGCGGCGCAGCGAGCGCCGGCCGCCGGCATCCATTGCCGCGTGGCCCGGGAAGGTGCGGTGCAGGTCCTTGTCCACCTGGGCCAGCCACTCGCCGTGGTCGGGGGACAGGCCCGCGGAGGCGGTGCCGGAGGCCGAGGAGGGCGGGGAGGGGGCGGGGGCGCCGGGTGCGTAGCTCGACTCCTCAGCAGCGCCCAGGTCGGGAGCGGCGGCCGCTCGGGCCTCGTCGCCGGCGGGCGAGAGGGCGGGCTGCTCCGGAGATGGCTCAGCGATTCCACTGGCCATCGCTCCGCCCATCGCGCCACTTGTCGACCCTCCCTCTGCAGCATCCGCCGCATCGCCCCGGAGGACGCCGTAGGCCCTCCCCGGCCAGACGCCGTCGTCGGGGGACAGGGCCGGGGCGTCGGCCAGGGCCCGGGCGACGAGGGCGGCGTACTCCCCCGGCCGCCGCAGCTCCCGTGTACGCAGGAGGCAGGGCCAGAGCAGCGCGCGGGCGTGGCGGGGGCCGCCGGCCTGCACCAGGGTGCCCAGGCGCAGGCCCGGGATGGACGTGCTGGGGTAGTCGGAGGGCGAATCCTGCTGCTCCTGCCAGGAGTCCAGGGCCTTGAGGAGGAGGTCTTCGTCGCTGGCGACGGGCCTGCCGCACCGAAGAGGACAGAGATTGGGGTGGGTCGGTGTAGTTTGCTGGAGAAATCTCAGGAGTCCCAGGGGCGGGCTCCGGCAGTAGCATCAGCTATGAAAGATCTGGCTGGTCACAAACCGAGATGCACAGCCATGCTCCCCGTTTCAGGGCCTGCAACACATAATCTTACTGTGCAATGCACAACAAGTATCCACCTACCTGGAGCTCTGTTGCCTGAGGTCTGCGAGGAAGGCCGCCCATCGAGCAGTCCGCTCCTCCTCCTCCTCCGCCCATGAGGGTTCAAACTGGTCGTACAGCTCCGCAAACTCCTCGCGTATCTGCAAGGGGTGGTCCATTCGATCTGAAGATACGAATTGCATGATTACATGCCCTGCCCTGCGCATTGACTCTGCCACCGCACCTCGAACCCGTAGGCGTCGAGGCGCTTGACTGGCCTGTGCTCGGGGGTGGCGGGTTGCCACTCCCCTGCATACTCCAGGGAATCCATGCCCCTGCTGGCTCCTACCCTCTGCCCATGTGTGTTCGAGTGGGGTAGTCGAGGTCTCACAGAAGGGATGAATCAGCCACTGTGGGGCCCGCACCAACCAGCTGACCGAGTCGGATTTGAGGGGTGGGCCCTGCTTTCCATCGCGCCCTCCCTCACCATTGGAATCTCAGGCCTCCCGTCCTGAAACAGAGGCCCCCTACTCCTGAACACCCTCCAGCACTTTGGACGGGGGTCCCGATAATCAGAACACTCTCGCTCGGCTTTGGTCAGAGGTGATTCCCGGATTTGCCATCTCTCCTGCCCCAGGTCCGAGTGAGGGAGGGCAGAATGGCAGACGACACGGCCTCTGGGTCGGTGGATCCCAGCAAGGAGGGAGTGGCGCCGGAGGAAGACTTCAATGAGGCAGACATGGATGCGGAGCTGACGGAGGATGAGGCCACCCAGGACGGACCGATCTATGACACGGACGCCGAGGAGGTGGTGAGTGGGTGCGGGGGGCACCGCTCACCCAGCCCCTGCGCAGTGCTGCTTCCGCATGGACCCATCTGCCTGGATTCGGTCACGAATCCAGATCGTGCCCGCCGCCTCGTGTGACCGTGCCCGGGCTTTCATTCGAACTTTCAAACTCGATCGCGCAGGCCCTGCCTTCGGAGGCCGCCCAGCTGATTGCCAAGAAGGAGCGGGAGCGTCTGAAGCTGCAAGATAAGCTCAGGCGCGAACAGCTGGAGCGCGTGCGGGAGGAGCAGAACCAGGACGCCGCTGCCGGAGATGTGCGTGGATTAGCTTTTTGGGTGGGGGGAGGGCGGGAGGGGGTGCGGCAGCTCACAGAGGGTTTCTACTGGCCTGCAGTAGTCGCTTGCCATGCCTGCATGCTGCCGTAGTGAGGGTGGGTCAGGCAATGCAGCCTGCCACTCCGACTGCTGAGCTGCCGGCCAGATTGTCGCCCCCATCGACTCCCATGCGACTTACTCCCACTTCCTGCCCTCTCCCTCCTCTCCAGGCTGCACGCGGGCGCAAGCGCCTAGACTTCCTGCTGCGCCAGGCCGAGGTGTTCCAGCACTTTGCCCCCGCGGCGGCGGCGGGGGCGTCGGCCACCAAAGCCCGCAAGAAGAAGGGGCGGCACGGCGCGGCGCTGACCGAGGAGATGGAGGACGAGGAGCTGCTGCGCGACGAGGAGAGCGCGGAGCCCGGCGCAGTGGGGCACCGCCTCCAGGTCCAGCCCAGCGTGATCACGGGCGGCACGATGCGCGAGTACCAGCTGCAGGGCCTGAACTGGCTGATCCACCTGTACGACAACGGCATCAACGGCATTCTGGCCGACGAGATGGGGCTGGGCAAGACGCTGCAGACCATCTCCCTGCTGGGCTACCTGCGCGAGTTCCGCGGCATCACCGGGCCGCACATGGTCATCGTGCCCAAGTCCACGCTGCACAACTGGCTGAACGAGTTCCGCCGCTGGTGCCCCGCCATCAAAGCCGTCAAGTTCCACGGCAACCAGGAGCAGCGCGCGGCGCAGAAGGAGGAGGCCTGCCAGCCGGGGCGCTTTGACGTGGTGGTCACCTCCTACGAGATGGTGATTAAGGAGAAAAACCACTGGAAGCGCTTCCACTGGCGCTACATCATCATCGACGAGGCGCACCGCATCAAGAACGAAAACAGCATCCTGTCCAAGGTCGTGCGCACGCTGACCACCAACTACCGCATGCTCATCACGGGCACGCCGCTGCAGAACAATCTGCACGAGCTCTGGGCGCTGCTCAACTTCCTGCTGCCCGAGGTCTTCTCCTCCGCCGAGAAGTTTGACGAGTGGTTCCAGATTGGCGCGGGGCGCGAGGCGGAGGCGGAGGTCGTCCAGCAGCTGCACAAGGTGCTGCGCCCCTTCCTGCTGCGCCGCCTGAAGTCGGACGTGGAGAAGAGCCTGCCGCCCAAGAAGGAGACCATCCTGAAGATCGGGATGAGCGACATGCAGCGCAAGTATTATGCCGCGCTGCTGCAGAAGGACATGGACGCGGTGACGGGCGGCGCGGACCGCTCGCGCCTGCTCAACATTGTGATGCAGCTGCGCAAGTGCTGCAACCACCCCTACCTGTTCCAGGGCGCGGAACCGGGGCCGCCCTACATCACGGGCGAGCACCTGGTGGAGAACTCGGGCAAGATGGTGCTGCTGGACAAGCTGCTGCCCAAGCTGCAGAGCCGCGGGTCGCGTGTGCTCATCTTCTCCCAAATGACGCGAGTGCTGGACATCCTGGAGGACTACTGCCTGTATCGCGGGTACCAGTACTGCCGCATCGACGGCAACACCAGCGGCGAGGACCGCGAGAGCCAGATCGACGACTATAACCGGGTGAGTATGTAGGGAGGAGAAGGGGGTAGGACAGGGGGGGTAGTGGTAGTGCGAGGGCTTGATATGTTGGCGGGTGAGTCCAGTCTCGAACTTTACAAGAAGGACGGCAGAGGCTGGCCAATGCCCAAGTCCTTGCGGCCCTGGGTCAGGGGTCGCGCCTCCCATTCCATGAGGCTCGACCTCCCGTCGCCCGTATCCTGAACCAAACTCCTCCCAGTGATAACCATCCCCTGGACCCTGTTCTTCCTTCGTCGCCTTGCTTCAGACGAGCACAATCACCTTCATATCTCCAAACCACTGATGATCACGCAGGAGGGCAGCGAGAAGTTCGTGTTCCTGCTCTCCACCCGCGCCGGCGGCCTGGGCATCAACCTGTACACCGCCGACATTGTGGTGCTGTACGACTCGGACTGGAACCCGCAGATGGACCTGCAGGCCATGGACCGCGCGCACAGGATCGGGCAGAAGAAGGAGGTGCAGGTGTTCCGCTTCTGCGTGGAGAACGCCATTGAGGAGAAGGTGATCGAGAAGGCGTACAAGAAGCTGCGCCTGGATGCGCTGGTCATCCAGCAGGGGCGGCTGGTGGAGGGCACCAAGGGCGTGAACAAGGACGACCTGCTCCAGATGGTGCGCTACGGCGCGGAGATGGTGTTCAGCTCCGAGGCGGCCAACATCACCGACCAGGACATTGACCTCATCATCCAGAAGGGCGAGTCCAGCACCAAGGAGCTCAACGACAAGCTGCAGGTGGGTGGCTGGTTTTGGGGGGGGACAGCAGCCCCCGGCATCAAGTCGGAACACGCCATGGACCCCGCCCGACCTCACCCCAAGAGCTCCCCCCCCCCGCCACCTCCATCCATCCGCAGAACTTCTCGGACGATGCCATGAAGTTCACCATGGACGGCGGGCTGTCGGCCTACGACTTTGCTGATGAGGACAAGGAGCCGGAGAACACGGATCAGCTGGACCAGCTGAAGCAGCTCGA